AACGAGGGCTGGCAATGGAAAGGAAAAAGAAGGCAGAGGCTCCTAACAGGAGGATGAGAGGGGTTGATAACAACAAGAGGTATTAACTGCAAAGAGGGTGGTGGGCATAACTCGTGAGCACCAAGCAGGACTACAGCGGATGTGCTAAGAGAATGAGGTCTCAACTGTCACTGGAAGGGAGCAGGACAGGAATGGAATAACAGAGTTCCAGGAGGGCCTGGAAGAGAGAAGTGTTACTACAGGACATAACGGTAGAAGGGTGTGAGAGGAGGAGGAGGGTGTGATGATGGCAAACACAGCCCAGGTCCAGGAGAGAAAACCTAAGGGGAGCTGCCCTGGCCTGCTGGGGAGGGGAGCAGCTGGCACAGTGTGAGGAAGGGTGAGGATTCCAGAGGTGAGCTCAGGTCAGGAGGAGGTACTATGGTGGGGACGTGGGCGAACGGGCTGGAGCATTTGAGCAGGGACTAATTTGAAGTGGGAGAAGGTCTGCTAAGTCCCTGTACCCGGACCCAACAGGGCAGCAGACGCCCTCCTAAAGGCAGTGGCAGCCAGCAGTGTCGCCGAGAAGGCTGTGGAGGCAGCGCGAATGGCCAAACTGATAGCCCAGGACCTGCAACCCATGCTAGAAGCCCCAGGTGAGGCGTGGGCAGCCTAGGGGAGGGGGTGGGCCTGCTAGGGAGCTAGAGAGGCTCAGGTGTGGGGAAGGGGGATGGGAAGCCCTGCAAGGGAACTGGGGATGAGAAAAGCCAAGGTACAAGGGGCCAAGGGGATGGGCTATGTGGGGAGCTGAACTGGGAATTTATGAAGTAGGGTAATGGAAGGTTTGGGATGTGGCAGTGAGAAGCTATGAGCCCAAGGATACCAAAATCCTGGGAAGTCCCCAGTTGGGAATAACACTGCAGCCACTCCAGCCTGAGGCCAGTTAGGCCCCTCTGATTCTTAGCTATCCCTGCCCAGGCCGCAGACCCAGGCAAGACTCAGAAGGTTCCGACACAGAGCCCTTGGATGAGGACAGCCCTGGGGTGTACGAGAATGGACTGACCCCTTCAGAGGGATCCCCTGAACTGCCCAGCAGCCCTGCCTCCTCCCGCCAACCCTGGCGACCACCTGCCTGTCGGAGCCCACTGCCTCCTGGAGGGGACCGGGGTCTCTTCTCCAGCCCCAAAGCTTGGCCCGAGGAGTGGGGGGGGCCAGGTGAGCAGGCAGAGGAACTAGCTGGCTATGAAGCTGAGGATGAGGCTGGGATGCAGGGGCCAGGGCCCAGAGACGGTTCCCCACTCCTTGGAGCTTGCAGCGACAGTTCCGGAAGTCTCCGAGAGGAGGAGGGGGAAGATGAAGAAGCCTTGCCCCAGCTGAGGGCCTCAGGAGGCTCAGAGCCTGAGCCAGTCACCATGCTGGTCCTGAAGGGCCCATCTTCAAGGGGTCCTGATGCTGGGTGCCTGACAGAAGAGCTCGAGGAGCCTGCTGCAACCGAGAGGCCTGCCCAGCCGGTGAGACATCTCTGCCCCCACTGTGCACCCTCTTCTCCTTTGCCTCCCACCCTTCCAGACCTCTGTCTGATCCCCAGAGGGACTTTGATTTTAACTCAGCTTCCTCCGCCTGGCCAGTCTTGGACCATATCCCACCTGAAAAAAATAGAAAGCTTTCAAGCTGGAAAGAACCTTAGGCACCTTTAAGTCCAACTCCCTCATTTGACAGATGGGGGAACTGAGGCCTGGAGCACTTAAAGTAACTTGCCCAAGGTTACAAACTAATAATTAATGGTAGAGCCAGAACATTTTTCCCTGTTCTCCTTCCATATCATTTCCAGCTCCCAGTTTCCTACTCCACCCCCACCCCACCTCCACACTTTCTCTCTTTGGTGCCCAGAAATAAAAAAGGAAAAGATTGTTCCCTCCCTACCCTCACTCTCCCTCCCTCTCCTGGGAAGAAGGGAAATAGGGAAGAAGGCAGAAAACTGGGAGAGGCGGAGTTTCCCCAGAACCTTCTACTCTGATTGGACTCTAGGCTTTCTCCTGTTTCCTAGCAACCAGATCCTCACCCCTTCATCCCTCTGCCTTACTGCAGTTCTGGCTGCTGCTGCCAATGCCTGCTACTAAGGCCAGGCACCTCCTGCCTGGGCCACATGATATGCTGGTGGGAGGGAAGCAGAGGGAGGAGGAAGGGCTGTCCCTGCCATCAGGATGCCATAGGAAAGGTGGGGCCCTGCCTGCGAGAAGAAGGGTGTTTTGCAATTGAAAACAGGTTGGAGATCCGCCCCCCCCACTCCTTTGGCCTCTTGGGGAGGTGCCTGGGACCCCCTTCAGCTTTGCCACCTCAGCCAGAGCAGGAAGGTGGGACCTGGTCTGGGGGACTAAGCCTGCCTCCCCCTCTGTCTCTCTAGGGAGCTGCCAACCCCCTGGTGGTGGGAGCCGTGGCCCTCCTGGACCTCAGCCTGGCGTTCCTGTTCTCCCAGCTCCTCACCTGAGGCTACTTCCTGGCCTACTTCTCTGGCTTTGGTTGCCTGCCTTTCACCCCTTTGCCCTGCCTTTTTCTCTTTTCCTCTTCCTGGTTGTGTTTTCTCCTCTCTTTCTCTTCTCCCTTTCCTTTCTTTTCTGCCCCCTTTATTTTTGTCTCTTGCTTTTTCTTTCCCTCTCTTTTTTCAGATTATCTCATTTATTCTGAATCTGTCTCTGTCTTCCTCACTCCTTTCCCTACCCCAACCTTCTTTCTCTAGATTGTTTACATATGAAGGGCTTTTCTCTCTCAGAGTTGCTTTCTTCTCTGAGACACACAAAACTAAGACAGACCATTGCCCCATGCCCACCCCACCTATTCTTTAGACCTAAACTTCACTGAGGGTGGGGGTTTGGTGTCCTGAGGAGACTCCTGGAAGCTGAATGGAGAGGAGGAAGACAATGAAGAAGGGGTACCTGAGTGCTGGGCAAGGCACTGGCTGAGCTGCTGTGTTTCCCTGGCCTGAGGGACCTGGTGTCCCTCTGAGGCCTAGTGAAAAAGCTGCTGGAGGTGCAGCCTCCACCTCTTCCCTTGGAGGATATATTATCTCACCTCAGGCAGATTCTGAGCTGAGGTTCTGGCCTAACTGTTCTTTCCCTGAGGCAGATAAGGGAAGTTGAAAAGTAGAGTAACTCCCTAGCATTTCCCTCTTTCTTTCCTCATCAGCAAGCCCCTCCTCCAGCCCTTTGGTGGCATGCCATGCCAAGAGCAGTGTGTAAAGGAACAAAAAATATCCAATGCAGTCAAGTCCTTCCCAGACTTTCCCACTGACCTCTCTCACCCTTCTGTCTCCCCCTAATAGTTTATTTGGTTGGTCTGGACTCACTTGTGGCCTTTGATTAAATTCCTAAGGGGCCTGAAGAAGACATTGCTACTTAGAGGCACTTGAGCAAGGATTCCACCCCACGCCCCAACTCTGGCAGTCGTGGTGGGGGAGGCACTTCTTGGGGATGCAACCAGACAAGATAACAGGAGCTCATAAGGAAGCAGAAGCTGTGACAAGTTTAGTAGTCTCAGAATGGGTTATAGCCCTTCCCCCAACATATCAGAATCTTGTGAAATGGGAAAACAACAGGAGGGGATCAAAAGAAGCTGATCTCTCACAGGCTGTCCAGGCAGGGCAGGGGTGGGAGTCAGACCTGGGTGAGAGGTGGGTGGAAGGCCCTGTTTGAGGTTGTGGCTTATCCTTGGTACTAGCTTTTCCCCTGGGGGCAGGAAGCCCTAGGAAGAGGGGACTGTAGGGTCCCCAGGGGATCTTTCCTCCCTCTCCTGCATGAGGCAGAGGCAAGCTGCCTGCCAACCCCCTCCCTCAAGGAATGGCCTTGCCTGGGAATGCCCACCACATACCTTCTTTTTTTCTAGTCAAACTCTGTTTACTCCTTGGCCTGCCTCCCTCCTTCCTCCCCTCTCAACCTTTACTTCTGATTTCTATTTCATGGAATTTGGGATTGAAGTTAAACTACAACAGTGCCGCCAACACCAAGTCTTGCAGGAAAAAAAATACAAAGAAATTTAACAAAAAAAAATATATTAATAAAAAAGTTCAAAAAAGGGGGGGATTGTCATTTCCTTTGGGGTGCGATGGCTTCAAATCCAAGCTCTCTGGGTGCTGAGGATGTACAAGGAGCCCCTTTGGGGGACCTTGGGCGTACCATACAGTCTTGCTGTGATAAGAACTGTGATAAGAACTCCTTCCCCTCAACACTAAAGCTTGAGGTCAGGATTCGAGAAGGCTCAGCAGGTCGGCCCAGGAAGGGCGGGGTCCTGTGGTGGAGGCGGGGAGAGGGAGGGGCCAGACGGAGCACCAACCGCCCGCTCCGCCCCGTACCAGGAAGCGCTAGGGGGGAAAGGAGCAGAGTTGACACAAGCCAGGTGAGGCTGGCGTACTGGGGTGGGGAGGCAGAAGCTGTGTGACATGGTGGAGGAGGGTGGGAGGGGGGGCGTGGAATCCCATGGAAGAAATTGCGCTGGGCCGTAGAAGGTAAAAAAGCTATGGATGGGATACCGGGTCTGGGGAAGGGGGGAGAAAGAGGCGGAGCTCTGGCGCATGCTCCATAGCAAGAGACGCAGGGTGGAGCCGGGACGCATGCGTAGTGGGGATCTCCTTGGGCTGTGAGATGGGGGCGGAGTTGGAGTCCCACGTGGGGGAAAGGTGAATATGGGCTCACTTTTAGGGTAGCTGTGGGCCCTGGGCTCTTAGGGTCTTGGCACAGGACAAGCCTATGCAGAAAAGCCAGGCATACTGGGCGAGAGAGTGTTAAAGCCGTCTCCACTCCCGGGCTCTGCCCCCCAGGATGGTGGCGCCTTCGCTAAAGCTTCAGGATCTAATCGAAGAGATTCGCGGCGCCAAGACTCAGGCTCAGGAGCGGGAGGTGATCCAGAAGGAGTGTGCCCACATCCGGGCCTCCTTCCGTGATGGGGACCCTCTACACAGACACCGCCAGCTGGCCAAACTGCTCTACGTCCACATGTTGGGCTACCCCGCCCACTTTGGACAGGTACTGGCCAGGGATACCTACCTTCTGAGTTTGATGAGGAAGGCTGGGGGGTAGGGTCTCAGACCTCCTCACCTGTTTGTGCCCTGATTTTTTTCATTCTACAGTTTCTGAACCCTCAGCATGCACCACAAAGCTCTTTTCCCCATTAGTCATCAGCTGGCCTGAACCCTTCATTCTCTGGCCAGTCCCAATCAGGGCACCTCCTTCTCCTCCCCCATCCTCTTCAACTCCTAGTTCCTTGAAGCTACCTATGAATGCCTGAATCTCCTAAGCCTCTTCTCTTGTTGAAGGGAGGGTGATGAGATATGATGCTTCACAAGTTAATCTGGTGTTACAGAGGCAGATGGAACAGGGATGTTAGTGTCTCCAGTTTCACCCTGCCCCTTCCTGGTCTGCTCCCTTCCCTGTAGATGGAGTGCCTGAAACTGATCGCCTCCCCCAGATTCACAGACAAGAGGGTGGGCTACCTGGGGGCCATGCTTCTATTGGATGAGAGGCAGGATGCCCACCTGCTCATTACCAACAGCATCAAGAAGTGAGAGGGTTCTGGGAATAACATGGATCAGGGAGATGGGAGAGTTGGGAAGTCCCAGGGGGCTGCCTGCTCTAGGCACTGGGAAGGACTGGTTTTCTCAAAGGCTCAACTGACTGTCCTCCCAACCCTGCAGTGACCTGAGCCAGGGTATTCAACCAGTACAAGGCCTGGCCCTGTGTACTCTGAGTACCATGGGCTCTGCTGAGATGTGTCAGGACCTGGCCACGGAGGTGGAAAAACTGCTTCTGCAGCCCAGCCCCTACGTGCGCAAGAAGGTGAGATGGCAGGCACTTTCTTCTCCAGAAACTGTTCCCTGTCTGCCATGAAGTACAGGTTGGGGGAGTCCAAACCTGCAGATGCCTGTCTGAGGCCCCTAACCTCGGCAGGCTATTCTGACCGCAGTGCACATAATCCGGAAGGTTCCTGAGCTCTCCAACATCTTCCTCCCATCGTGTGCCCAGCTGCTTCATGAGCGCCACCACGGTAAGGAAGGCCATGGGGCTCCCTGTCCTTTTCTTCAGCTCTGACTATGGACAGAAGTAAAAATTGGGATAGGAACACCAGCTCATAGAAGAATAGCATGCACACACAAAAACACACATGCAGTAGACTCTCCCTTGCCCCAGCCCACAATTCACTTCACCCCACCCTGACCCCAGGCGTCCTGCTGGGCACCATCACGTTGATCACGGAGCTCTGCGAACGAAGCCCTGCAGCCCTCAGGCATTTTCGAAAGGTGGGCTGGTGAAGGGCAGGCCCTGGGCCTGGAAAAGAGGGGCAGTGGGGAAAGAATGGGACTTAAGATGGACAGGATCAAGAATAATGCCCGAACAAGGTCTGCCCTCCCTCTAGGTGGTACCCCAGTTGGTGAAGATCCTCCGGACTCTGGTGACAACAGGATACTCCACAGAACACAGCATATCTGGAGTCAGCGACCCCTTCCTACAGGTGGGCCTAACTTCTGCTGCTGTATCCCTGGAACATTGAGGGCTTAGCAGTAAGACCATGGCCAGTAGTCACCTCCCAGAGAACACTTTGGCTCAGTGTCTTGGGCAAGAGGGTGGCAGGCACAGGATTGCCCAGGTCATCTCAGGACCAGTAGGGGGAGAAGAAATGCCTGTAAGTCAGAGAATACAGTTTGGTAACAATTTTTTAAAAGTTTGCCCTAAAATCCCCCAGCCTCACATACCTCTGATCCCCTCCAAGGGCCCCGGGGACCTATGGAGGTGAGAGGGAGAGGTGGGGAGGCTCTGGGGATCTAGTCCAGTCCCTCACAATGCTCTCCTCATGTTGGATTTTCTCCTCAGCCTCATGATTCCTTATTCAATGAACCCCTCCACCTTTCAACCTTTAACCCAACCTCAGGTCCAGATACTTCGTCTGCTTCGGATTTTGGGCCGGAACCACGAGGAGAGCAGTGAAGCCATGAATGACTTGCTGGCTCAGGTGGGGGGCTGGGGAAGGGTCAGGGGATAGGTGTGTTGCTCTGTGACCCCACTACCCTGGGCATCCCTCACATAACCACTCATCCACACAGCAGCCATATAATCGCCTCTGTCCCCTACAGTGAACTCCATGAAGGAGGGACACAGTCTGTCTTAGGGCTCTCACCCCAGTACCCAGGCTGGCCCTGGCACTTAGTAGGGGTTCAGGGATGGTTGGATTTTGGATGGTTGAGGGATGGACATACTGACATAGTGGAGACCTAAGGAGAAGACAGAGCCCTGTGCAGAGGCATCTCCTCTCCTATCCACTCAGGTGGCCACTAACACAGACACCAGCCGAAACGCGGGCAATGCGGTCCTGTTTGAGACAGTGCTCACTATCATGGACATCCACTCTGCAGCTGGCCTACGGGTATCGTTCCCTATGCCTCTCCTGCTGCGGCCCCACCCACCACCCCCACCTAGGCAGACAGGTCCTGCTCATGGGTTTCCTTCCCTTATCCCCACCATCTTGCACCATGTGGTTCCACTTCTGAATGAGCAGGTTGCTTCTTCCCTGACTGTCCCTAACCTCTGCTTCTTATAGGTTCTAGCTGTCAACATTCTTGGTCGCTTCCTGCTCAACAGTGACAAAAATATTAGGTAATAGTCCCAGGTGTCTGGCTAGGTTGTGCCACTGAGTCCCAGACCCTCTGCCCTCCTTCCTCCACAGCCTCCTGAACACCTGCCTCTTACACTTATACCCAGAGCAGGAGAGGGGGTAGGGGCTGATGGCCATGGCATGATAGGGCCTCTCCCACTCTAATCAGGTATGTAGCCCTGATGTCATTGCTGCGGCTGGTGCAGTCTGATCACAGCGCTGTGCAGCGGCATCGGCCCACTGTGGTGGATTGTCTAAAGGAAACTGATGCCTCCCTTAGCCGGTGAGCAGAGATGGAGGGGACCAGAGGGCAGGACTGAAGGCCCAGTGCCTGGTAGCCAAAACTGAGCCAGCTCAGAGCAGCTGGAGTAAGGGGACTAAAGGGACAGGTGCCTGGGTAGGGGGAGGTCCTGGGGCATGGATCAGGGTGACCTGAGCTACCTGTGTGAACACTTGTCTTTCTCCTGCCAGGAGGGCCCTGGAACTAAGCCTGGCTCTGGTGAATAGCTCCAATGTGAGAGCCATGACACGGGAGCTGCAGGCATTTCTGGAGTCCTGCCCCATTGATCTACGGGCTGATTGTGCCTCAGGCATCCTGCTGGCTGCAGAGAGGTGAAACATCCAGGAGGCAGAGAGGGTGGAATCCAGGAAGGGTCAGTGCCAGGGCTGATGAGCCATTATTCCCCTTAGGTTTGCTCCAACCAAACGGTGGCACATGGATACCATCCTGCACGTACTGATAACGGTGAGACGGGATGTTCAGAGAGGTGGGCAGGAGCAGTCACGGTTCACCACACAAACCTGGCCGTGTTCACCCCCTCCAGGCAGGCACCTATGTGCGGGATGATGCAGTGGCCAACCTGACCCAGCTGATTGCGGGAGCTCAGGAGCTACACGCCTATTCTGTGCGCCGCCTCTACAGTGCTCTGGCAGAGGACATCTCCCAGGTACCATTCCCACCTGCCAAGGCCCAGGACCGCCCAGCTACTCCCTAAACCATCCTGGGCCACCTCTTCCCTAAACCACATTTCTAACTACTTTCCCCTCAAGGTTACAGCCATCTACTTAGTGCAGAAGACATTCAGGACAGAGTTCTGTTTTAAGTTAGAACACTTGGGCTTCTGTCCCTGCTACTGGCCCTGTAAGCACAGATAACTAATTTAACTTTCTATGTTCCAAGTACTCAGCTTTCTACCCGCCTACCTCCCAGGGCTGTCTTGAGGATTAAATAAGATAAAAACTTTTTCTGTGTATTAGGTTTCATTATTACCTTGAAGGCTGAGTTTCTGTAGCCAGTATCTATAGCCCTCTTTTCCATCTTAATTAAGTAGGGTGGGTAGAAACCATCCACCCCTTCTTCAAGGGGGGAACCAACCCTCTCACAACTCCATCCTATTGGCTAGGCCATGTAGTTCTGACACTTGGCCACCAGAGGGCAGCGGGAGCGCAGGTACTGGTACAGAGCCAGGTAACAAACTTCCCTTTCCTGACCCCTCCAGGGTTCCTGGTCTCTGCACTGCCTTTAAGGGATGTCTCAGAGTCTGGAAGTGAGGAGGGGACCCCAGGCACTGGCCCAGTAGTTTTCTTATTCCACACAGCAACCGCTGGTACAGGTGGCAGCCTGGTGCATCGGGGAGTACGGGGACCTTCTGCTGGAGGGAAACTGTGAGGAAACTGAGCCCCTTCAGGTGAGTTCTGCATTTAGGGGGGACTTGTCAGGGGAGGCAGGACTTGCCCTGGGGTCACAACCTGTGTCCATGCCTGAAGGTGGAAGAAGAGGAGGTGTTAGCACTGCTAGAAAAGGTACTGCAGTCCCACATGTCCCTGCCAGCCACCAGAGGATATGCCCTCACAGCCCTCATGAAGCTGAGCACTCGGCTCCGTGGCAACAACAAGTATGTAGGGGGCCCAGCTTCTTGAGAGACATTATTTCACTGTGCCCACCAGTTTGAGCATCTCTTTAGGAACCCATACCCCTAACCAACCCCCGCCCCCACACACAACTCCTTAGTCCTTAGCTTCTGGCTCTTGAGCCAAATCTTCAGTATCTCCCTGCTTGTATGGGGCCTCTCCCTTCTCTGCCACATCTTGGAGTGGAAGGGCAGGGTAAATTGCCATTGCCACTCACACCCTGCACCATGGGCCAGGCGTATCCGCCAGGTGGTGTCCATCTACGGGAGCTGCCTGGACGTGGAGCTGCAGCAGCGGGCTGTGGAGTATAACACACTCTTCCGGAAGTATGACCACATGAGGTGCGTCCGGCACTCTGCTGCAGTGTATGACCCAAACCCCTGCCCTCTCAAATGCCCTTTTCTAGATATAAGGGTCTCATCCTCACCTGTGTCCCTCATCCATGGTGAAAGCCTCCCACCCACTGTTCATTGAAGTGAAGCTGGCTTCTAACCCTCCTTGCTTATCTAAGAACCAGCAACAACATGCTATCTTAGGAAACCAGAAGGGCACTTCTGACCCACCATGTGCCAGCCTCTCCATACTCTTAGCCCTCATCCCAGATGCCTCTTGTAAAAGACCCAGGGACCAAACAGAGGGACACACTTGCATTCCATCCTCTCAGGGCTGCCATCCTTGAAAAAATGCCTCTTGTGGAACGAGGTGGCCCTCAGGTTGGTGAGGAAGCAAAGGAAAGCAAAGAAGCAGCCAAGCTTTCAGAAGCAGCCCCTGTGCCCACAGAGCCCCAGGTGAGGAGGCTGGAAGCCATGGGTGAGAGGACTTGCCTGGGCTTCCACACCCAGCCCTGACCCTTCTACCCTTTCTCCCAGGCCTCCAAGCTCCTAGATCTGCTAGATCTCTTGGATGGCCCTTCTGAGGATGCCCAACATCCTCTGCCTCTGGATCCCTCCCCAGGAGGTGCCTTAGTACAACTCCTTGACCTTCCCTGTGCACCTCCAGCCCCTGGTAAGCCTCAGCAAAGGGGAGATGTCTTAAGAGAAGGCGGGTGGAAATGTGACACTGCTTTTTCTGAGCCAAGGACTGAGGCTCATATACCCTTTTCCCTCCTGTGTGCTCATCCCACCCCTATCTCAGTAGGTGAAAGTGTTAATTCAATAACACCAGTCCCCTCCTGGCCACCCTTCAATGTCTTCCGTTTGTTGTAGAATTCCTCCCCCGCCCTTCTCATGCCACTTCCCCACTACCCACTGCACTGGCCCCTCAGCTCCTCACACCCTCCCACCCTTGACATTTCATGTTCTTTTTTACATCAAATGTTCTTCCCCCAGCACACAGAATGACCAGCTCATTCTCCCTCTTCAGGCTTCAGCTAAAATGTCAGATGCCTTCCCCTACCACTTCTATTTAAGTTAGCTCTTCCCAGTTATGCTGGCACGATGTATTTCTTTCATGGCACCCATTACAGCCTGTAAATATGTTGTTTTCTTTTTTATTGTTTTTCTCCCTCCACTAGACTATAAGCTCCAACCTCATCTTCTTGTCCACCAAATACCTAATATCTTGAGTACAGGGCCAGTAGGTGCTCACTCAATTTTTGTTGAATGAATGAATGAACATGTTATCTTGAGCCTGCACACAGACCTGCCTCTCTCTCCCTACTTTAGCTCCTATCCCGACTCTCAAAGTATTTGAGCGTGAGGGAGTACAGCTGAATCTGTCTTTCATTCGACCTCCTGGAACCCCTGCTTTGCTCTTAATCACGGTTACCGTCACCAACTCTTCAGGGGGTGATGTCACCCACTTCATCTGCCAGGCTGCAGTGCCCAAGGTTTGTAAAGATCAGGGTTTAGAGGTGGCCTGGGCACTCCAGGAGAAAAGGCCACTAAGTAGAAGAGGTGGGTGGGAGAGAATGAGATGGAAGGGAATGAGACAAGCACTTGGGGAGTTATGGGAAGAGGGTCTGGAACCACTGGGTGTGGAGGAGTCGTCTGAACCCAGCCAGCTGCCCACCTCCTGTGTTCAGAGTTTCCAGCTGCAGCTACAGGCCCCCAGTGGGGACACAGTTCCAGCTTGGGGAGGCCTTCCCATCACCCAGCTCTTCAGAATCCTCAATCCTAACAAGGTAAGCTTCAGGAGCACACCACTCTCCAGAATAAGACCTAGGGAGAGGAGAAGCCATGAGTGCTAATCCTGGTCTCTACTCTCCTGTTCCTAGGCCCCCTTGCGGCTAAAGCTGCGCCTCACCTACAACCACTTTGGCCAGCCCGTGCAGGAAATCTTCGAGGTGAACAACGTGCCTGTGGAAACATGGCAGTAACTGTCTCCATTCACAGCCTAAAATCCTCCTGTATTCCAAAGCCCAAGGGATCCTAGCCACTTGGAACGTACACCTGAGGGCTACCAGCAGGTGGCGCTCTGGTCCTGCATTTGCTGCTGCAAAACTGTGGGAGCCTGCCCCCCTCTCCCACAAATAATGAAAGTCCAATAAAGCCTGAGGGGGAATGAAAGCCATATTTGGGTATATTTGAAGTAGAAAACGTGTATGAATAACAGCCAGGGAAGAGCCCCTTACACAGGAAGTATGATTCTTCCCCTGAGCCTTGAGAACCTGTCTTAATAAGGAGGGTTTTCTTTCTCCACTCCATGTTGGGGAGCAAATTTGCCTTAAACTTCCACAGAAGACACTCTACCCTCTGCACCAGAACTGGGCACAGTAGCAAAATCTAATTAGAATGTCTAAATTTCTAACAGGGATTCCCAACCATTTCCCCAACTTGCTGCTATTCCCCACACCCCAAGGCAGGGAAATCCCTGCTGCCTCCCCTCATCTCTAACTCAGCTGTAAGGCGGTTTAGGAGCCGCTGGCAGAATCAATGGCATCGACCAAGGGAGGGGGGTGGCAAGGGATTTTCCTGTGCTTAACTACTGATCACGGCTAAGTGGAAATCCTATAAACACGAGCGGAAATCAATGGAGGCTGCTTAGCGGCCAGGGGAGAGGGGCGGCCCACAGATTGCATCTGACGGATGAGGGAGAGGAAGCAGCCAGGGAGGGCTCAAGGAAGGGTAACTTAGAGTAGGATGAAGGAACAGGCAGAGCTGGAGAGAGAGGTGTCACTGTGAGAAGGGAAGCCGCACAGTAAGCCCAGGAGTGGATCCTGTTAGACTCAGAGTTCCCCTCCCGTTCTAGGAAGTGACACCCTTAGCCCAGGCTGCTGTCAGGATGTTTAGTCCCCTGTGGCTTCTCTCTGGCTGGAGTTGTTCACTTCTATCAGGCGCTGATAGACTTGAGGCCGAAACCGCTGTAGGTACACGGTCAGCTTGGCAGGCACTGTCTCCTGTACTTGCACACCTACAGGCAAAAAGACAATGAGGAGAGAAGAAAACAGAGCCACTAACACTTTGACTCTGCTCCCTGCCCACTCAGCCAGGACCCCAAAGTTGTTTCCAAGGCAGCATTCTGAATACCATCCACCCAGCTTCTATAACCCACCAGGCCACTCCCTTCTGACATGCAGAAGAGGGACTGAAAAGAGCCACTTCAGGCAAGGGTGGATGAACTGCCTACAAAGGAACCATGCCTGGGAACAGAAAAACAAGTCTGCCAAAGCTTACCCCACTGTCTCACATAACTACAATGTTCTTGTCTTTTACTAAAAATCAACAGAACAAATTAAAAGAGGATCTAAGTAGCTGTAAAAACAAAAAGGGGTTTAGGAAGGAGGGATCAAAGCAGAGGACTGACAAATGGAACTGAAGGAGACCTGGCTAGAGGTATGAGAACTAAATGTAACAGCATGACTAAGATAAAGATACATGGAAAAATTAAATTCAGATTAGACAGCTACTATAAAAGAGAAAACCAGATTTGATAGAACTGGGTCCTCTCAAAAATTTCTAAAACAATTCCTATGACAAAGAATCCAGAGACCCTCCCCCATTATATGGTCCAGTGGGTGCCTCCAGAAAAGGAAAGTGGGCAGCAGGGAAAGCACAAAAGGGCTTGTCTCCCTTACCAAGCATGTTGCTGAGCCTGTGGATCTTCTCTAGGGCAGTTGGTACTTCAGCCTCCTCATGCACCAGGACCTCTACCTCACCCACAGTGTAGCCAAAGTCGGCTGTATCCAGGTCTACCCTGAGCGGCCGCTCTTCATCAGCTCCCAAGAGCACCAGCTTCCAGGCACTCCGGTTAGTCACAAAACTAGCTACTTCCTGCAGCCCCATTGGGCCCAGCACAGCAGCCACACCCCCATCCCCCGGGCCCTCAGTCTCCAGCACCTCACAGAGCTGGGCCACAATTGCAGGTTCAGCTGTGAGTTCCACATACTGCGTGTGGGGTCCTAAGACACCTGCTGCTCCAGGACATTTGAGCTCCCATCCGCTATCTCGTTGTCGCAGCCAGTAGTCAGCCCGCATAAGGCGCAGCTCAGGGGTGTCATAGTAGGTGTCTCGGAAGGTGACCCGGTGCTCCAGGGTGCTCCCCAACTCCTGGAGCCGCTCCTCTGTGCCAGGCCCTGGAATGAACTTTAGCTCCACCTCAATCAAGCCCTGGGCCATCCTACCTGCAACTGGTTGATCAACAAGCATTCGCTGAGCTCCCAAGGGTTCAAGGCCTGGTGCTCAGCACTGCGGACGTGGTTGGGGGGTGAGAGGGACGCTCAGTACAGAACCCCGTCCCTGTAAGAACTTATGAGGCACACACACTGTCTCAGAACCCTGCTAGGGCTGCAGCCCTTTCACTCTGCCTCGGTGATAAAATACCCCATCTGTGATGTTTTAAGGCTGTGACAGTGACAGGTCTCCAGCAAAATCCCTCCCACTGCTGATAATGTCCTCAACCCAAAGGGCTCCCTAGAAAGCAGGCCCTGCGTCGCGTGTCCTCCTTTCAACGCCCCCTCGATACACCTTGCTACCCAAGAAGGCCAGTGGCTCACTGCCCAGGATGCCCTGTCCTCTCCCGCCACGGCACCCGCCAGCAGAGCCCAGGGGCTCACCTCAAAGCCCGAGGGTATCCCTCTCGCGGGACCCGGAAATGGGGAGCCCACGCCACACCCGCGAGGAATGCCGGGAGTAGTTCCTGATCCCGGACCTGGGCCCGGCTCTCCGCGAGCCCAGCTGGTCCCACAATCAGCGGCCATATTAGGCCCGTTGTGGTGGTGCAGAGCACAGGCCGGAGCCCGAGAGACCTGCTAGGTTATGGGGGTGCCGGGACCCACGCGGTGGTCAGGGGAGCGAGGCCGTCTCCTAGCGCTTTGCTCTTCATCCCCGACCCCTCTAGGCTCCCAAGGATTGGCCGGGTCTCAGGCCTCGGGCTGAGCCCGGCACCTTGGGGTACGAGTGCATGATGGGAGTTGTAGTTCCAGAGGGTGACTTAGCCGTCTCTCCCAATCCGTCGCTATGGTGACAGGAAAGCTGCAATTGGTGCCAGCGGGATTCTACCTCAAGCTGAACTGGGGCTGCAGGGCGGTAGGGAGAGTGGAGTGCAAGAAGCTCAGGACAGTCCCATCTCCAAACCCTCTCCCAACGTAGGCAGATGGGCCTGGAGTACGAGTCACTCAGACACTGTCCAGATATCTAATGGATTATTATGTCAGCCCGCTGAGTGCAGGCCGGTGGCAACGGGCTGGGGGCGGCAGGGGCTGTAATTAAGTCCAGTTTAGCTATTCTGGAGTTTTATAGTTGATCTAATATATCCCGGTATGACTGTTCAGGGTAAGGATGAATGGGAAACTTTCTGTCAGAGGAGAAAATGAAATTTTGGATGAGAAATAAAGATGCCATGGAATTTTAACAGTTTGAGACCCAGCTGGAGACAGGAACAGCATAAGCAAAGACCCAGAAACTGGAGAGCAGCTGGCCAGTTCTTAAGTAGAAGATAAGGCTAAGAAATGCAATTGAAGGGCAGAATGGAAAAGGCCTTGAGTGCCAAACAGGAATTTGCCAAAGTTTCCAGTGGTCCCTGAGCAGGTTTTGTCAGGAGTAGGAGAAATACTCATGTTCATTTAAAATACAGGAAGACATGAGGTTGGCCTTTTGACTGCTTTGGGAGACAAAATAGTGAGGGTTCCTTCTCTGTACTCCCTCTGAGGACTCGGATTATCTGGAGACTTTAACTGTAGGTCTGACTCTCTGGGTGAGGAAGCTTGCTGAAGAACAGAGGCTCTTGTTGATTCCTGGGCTCCTTCCTATGATGGGTGAGAAATGCCAAGTTCTTGACACCTACCCTCTTCCCAGTATATTTCTGGAAACTGTGACCAGGGAAGTATGGTGGGGAGGACAAGATTTAAAGACATGGCATCTTGAACTTGGGATGTCTTGGGTGTACCCCTCCCTTGGGTGCTTGGGTGTTTAGTCAACACCAAGCACCATTGGTTAGGGAGGGAAGGATCCTCAGCCTCAAACTCCTGTGGCTGGGCTGCTTTTCATCCATCCTTTGCTTTTCAGTTGTCTTTTTCTTTCTTTCTTTTTTTCTTTTCAGTTTTCTTGACCCAGGAAGAAGATGTAATATTTTCCCTGTATTGTGAGGTCCAATCCAGTGGGGAAGGGGCCGAAGCTTAATGGAATGGAAAGACCAGACTCTGGAACCAGATGGACCTGAAGTTGATGCCTAGCTTCAATTTCTAGATGTTTGGCCTTGGGCAAGCTACTCCACTTCTTAAGCTACTGTTTTTTCATTGGGAAAATGTAGACTGCCTCACAATTACCTGTGAGGGTTCAGTAACAAACTGTCACATAGTAGAGACTCAAGATGTTAGTTTCTTTCTCCCTTTTTTCTTGTGAACTTTAGGGTTTTGTTGTCCTTGTTGTTAAGAGAAGTAAGCTGTAGCAGCTAGTGTGGGCTCTGGAGCCAGACCGTCAAGGTGTGAATCCTGCCACTATCACTTATTGGCTATTTGACCTTGGGCCATTTACTTGTTTGTGCCTTGGTTTCCTCAACTGTAAAATGGCACTAATAATAGTATCTACCTCATAGGGTTGAGAGGAGTGCGTAAGTTAATATATGTGAAAGTGCTTGGAACAGCCCCTGTACACTCAGTAAATCTGAAGAATTGTTGTTATTAGAATATAGGAGCACTTACAAGCCGATAAACTGAAGATAAGGAGGAGGAGGAGCCAGAACCTCCCCTCCCTACCCAACTCAGGAGACTGTATGGAGGAAACAGAATCTCTCAGAGACTTCAGAGTAATTGTTGTGGAAGAGAAGGTTCTAGTACCCAAATGGAAGGGAGGGGTAATAGTAAGTCAGAAAAAAGGTAGTGAAAAAAGAGAGATGGGCCTCAGGTGGCTCTGGGAGACTGGTAGAAGCCAGGGCTTGCTCTACAGCTGATTTAAAACAAAACAACAATAAAACACATGTATGACTTCTGGAGGCAGGATGAAGAGGAGGAGACAGGAAATAGTTTAAAGGGGACTATTCTCTCTGCAGGCACCCGCTTGGACGTAGTGCCAGAGTAGGCGACAGCAGGGTAGGCTGGCGAGCCTGCCCTGGAACGCCAGTCCTGGCCCTCGGTT